CTATGGCATTAGAGCAGAATGGAATTTCTTTGCAAGCAGTCATGGAAAATCTCCCTGTGATGGAATTGGAGGAACTGTGAAGCGTTTAGCAGCACGTGCCAGCCTTCAACGCCCAATTCATAATCAAATTTTAACGCCTTTAAATTTATATGATTTTTGCAAGGAGAGTGTTACAGGTATTTCATTTATTTATGTTGCCAGTGGTGAAGTAGACAGTGTAAAAGACAATCAAGAGAAACGATTTAGTACTGGAAACACAATTGCAGGAACCCGGGATAATCACAAATTTGTACCAGTAAATGAAAATCAGATTTGTGTAAGTCGTATTTCAAATGACAATACATCTTTTATTGCAAACATTAATGAAAGTTACAACAACAACTCAACCAAATTAGTTTCACTGTCTCATCTTAGTCCCGGAAATTTTGTTGCATGTATCTACGATGCACATTGGTGGATTGGAAATGTTTGTGAAATTTCAGAAGAACAAAAAGATGTTTTTATTGATTTTATGCATCCTCATGGTTTGGCTCAGTCATTTTACTGGCCTAGCACTAAGGACACTTGTTGGGTACCGGAGCAGCATGTTATTGCAGTCATTCCAGATCCAATCAGTTCTGCAACAGGTCGATATTACAATTTACCATTAATTGTTGTTTCAGACATTATTTCCAAATTTGAAGCTATTTTAAATATGTAATTGGAATCATGTTGTTTATGGTTGCGAGCAACTTATTTTTTTTCATCACTAATTTTTTTTTAGTGGGTAATAAAGATTATATTAACATTAAATTAAAAACATTAAAAATCCTTGTTTTTCTTTTTTGTTTTTTCAGAAAATGTGTTTTAAAATCTGTCTTGTTTTCAAAACTACATAGCATAATCAAGTTACCTATTAACTAGGTTACGCATCTATAACTAGTGCCGCATTTGTGACGTTGGATTGATGGTGCTCTTAGGCATATGATTAATCGTCGCCTTAATGTTCGTAATAAAATTTAAAAATATATATTTCTACACTAAAAACTACAACTTTTCAATGAAAAAAAGAACAAGATCCACTTTTTAAATGGCGCTCCTAAACAGTTGCCTAGATTTGTCTTATGGCAAATGCGCTTCCGTATGTAACTTAAGCTAAAATTTCGGACAAAGTTTCTAAATTTTAAACAAAGTATAATTTAGCCAGCTTGAAAGTGGCATTTTTTGTGGTTCAAAATTTTTCAGACAATACTTTATTTTAATCAAAATTATTTATGCATAAAATATTAATAAATCCATCATTTTAAACCTCAATACATCACTTTCTACAGCTTTGCATGAAAGTTTTAAGGGTCAAAAGAAGTGCACTTTAAACTCAATCAGCCACAGTTCCTAAATTATTATTTTCTAAAAGTTCTGAATGTGATCAAGGAGAATAATACCTAAATGTATTATTTTCTGCTGATCACATAAAGCTGTGCACTGAATTGTGACCACGTGTCACAAATTGATGTTATGTCATGTTCTATCAATTATAACGCACGGTCGTCTGACATGGTCAATCTCAACTTCTTTAGCATTTTAAATTGTCAATTACATACAGTTCTCTGCAGCATTTTTATAACTGTTTAACTTTTGAAATCCTTTTTCAGACACACCTTTTGTAAAAAAGTAAATGTTTGACGGTTGCAAAGGCGTCTTTAGGGATAAACTTCTTGGTATCATCTACTAAAATGCAGATCCACTAGCATATTATTTTTGAGATAAAGTTTTTTTTATGGAATGGTTTTAAACCAGTCTTATAAAACCAAACTAAACATTTATGATAGAAATGAAATGATTATAGAATCAAATTACAAAAAAACCTTAGAGTTTAATTTTGTCAAAAAGCTTACTTATTTCCAGTTGTGCGCCACTTTAAATTTAGTGCTTCACATTTTGCTGATTTGTTTATTTTTTTGAAATAACTCAAATATAAAAAATAAATTTTTTGAATATCAAAATATTTTGATTTTTGGTAGAACAAGCATTATTTTTAATGCAGTATGACAAATCCACATCTATAGTAGAAAATCGAAAATTTAAAAAATCTATATATTGACCTAATTATTTTCGTTCATAGAAAAAATCTCTCCAACATGGTTTTTATTGTTTCTAGAAGTATAAAATAAGCTCTTTCGAATGGTGCAATTACAAAAACAAAAAAAATTTGCCCACATTAAGTTTTAGGGGTTCAAATATATGTTGTTTTAGGGTATTTCACTTTTGTCGCCATATTGGTCTCAGAATAACTTAACATGGCTATTTTTAACAAAGCTGATTTTTTATCCATACCATTATATTGGTACGTAGAACCTTCAGAAAAAATAACAATACTGAAAAACATTTTATTCTGGTGATATGACCCTAAGAAAAAACGACAAAAGTTTGTAGTGTTGAATTTGTGACGTTATTTGTTGAACCATATACTAAAATCTAGGCATGAAATAAAAGTTGTAATAAATAATTTGCAATCTGCACCTTCGGTTTACTAAGAATCCACGTTTTTAAGATATATAACTCTTTCATTGCAAAAATATAAGACCCCAAAAATAGGATTTTAGCAACTGACTGATATTGAAATTTAGGGAGTCCTTACAAAAAGTACTATAAAATCCAAAATAACAAACATTTTGAGCTGAAACTTTGGCAATGTTCATAAAACACGTTTAACTACATACTGACAAAATTTTATTAAAATCTGAGATGGTCGAGTGGGGATGATTTCGGATTTTGGACCGTTTGGCGTGGAATGACCCTATATATATATATATATATATATATATATATATATATATATATATATATATATATATATATATATATATATATATATATATATATATATATATATATATATATATATATATATATATATATATATATATATATATATTAAAAAAAAAAAAAAAAAAAAAACACCGGTAGAAATTTGTTGCGTATATGACATGAGAGAGATGCTTATGGTAACAATGTGATCAGGTAATGGGACTAAATAAGCTGCGCATGGTCTAAAAAAAAAATTAAACAAAGAAAACAATTAATAAGCCTTAGCACAAAAGCCCGAGCTAACTTGAAATACAATATTGAATCATTTTGCTACTTAAAAAGTACATTTTTATTAATTGAATTTAAGAGGTAACCATTCAGGTAGAGTGTAAAGATTTTGACAAAAGTTTAATATAAAAAAAACTTCTAATTTATTATTAAAATAAAACAACTAAAAAGTGGTTAATAGCTGCTGAAATTGTTTAATTATTACCAAAGTTTCCATTACAGTTTTGTTAAAATAGTTTATTATAATATTTTTTTCAACTAAACAGATTTGACTAAATCTGAAACTAATTTTTTGAAACATTTTGATTATAAAGAGCAAATTTTACGTTGACATGATTTCCAATTTTCTGAACAATTTAATGTTGAAATAAATTGTATTTGTAAAGCCAATATATAAGGGAAGTGGGAGCATAATCACATATGGAGGCACAAATTTTTTCCAACATTTCCTAACGAAAAATATTATATAATATGGCAACACACATATCATACGTCGGTAAAATAGTTTCCATCATTCTGTTAATGTGAAAAAGACTGTCTTTAGCATTTCTGAGAATATTGTTTTTTTTTTAAATAAAAATATTACATTAACATCGTGTTTTTTTAAGACCAATTTTAGTAGATTTTTTTGAATATTTGTTTTTTATATTATGCTCATGTGCTTTCAGTTTTACTTTATCAGTTTAAAACCATTTGTCATATTAACATAATCTAGTAAGCAAGCTATAAAACTTTCTTCTGTGGGCAGAACCGCATAGATGTACAGAAAGCACAGCCGCATACATGCACTTGTGTTTCTTGAAGTTTGATAAATGCGAATTATGATAATAATTATAATCATTTCACATAAGTGCTTTCATGTAAAAAAAAATTATACGGCTGTAAATGTTTTTGATGATTGGATGTTTAAACGTTCAGAAACAATCAACAGATCAATCTGAGATGTATTCTGCAACACCAAATCTAGAGTTTTAAACATAAACCTTTTCACAGTAAGATGTATCACTGAGACTTGCTCTAAATAAGAACTTTTGCCAATCGTTTCAATTCGGATCACTTAAAATTTCCGATGGAAATTTTAAGTGATCCGAATGGAAAACTCGAAAAAATCTCAAAAACGATGCCTGTAGAGAAAAAAAGTTGTACTTACCAGTCCACGACAAAAAACCGAACTGAAAAAGCAATGGCTGTTAAAACTAAAAGAAAAAAGAGCTCAAACAGTTTCCAAGACTGTAGAAATAAACAATGCTATGCATGCATAAATTTTTAGTAATCCGAATGGAAAACTCAGACAAACAAAAGAATGACTGCCCAGTATACAAATGTACAAAATAAAATCAGCAGATAGACAGTGCTGTGACACTTAAAAAAAAAGTATTAACTACGCAAAGTGTACTCCTAACAATCTCTGTTGTGCTTCACAATAAGGACACATTTTTTTTTGAGTTAAGTTTTTGTCTGAGTTTCAAAAAATCTTTTATTGTTACTGTAGCAATTCAGAGTTCAACAATGTTTTTTAAATAAACTAAAAAAAAAAAGATCCAATTTTTTGTTCTTGTATAATATTAATTTTTACGGGGGGCTATTATTATTACCACTTACCTTACATATATATAACTGTTCGTTGATTGTTTCAACAGGCTTCAAAATTGTGTTAAATATGAAATATATTTGGATAATTATTTTTTTAAAATAAATTGAAAATCACTTTATGGCAAAAATTCATTTTTGTCATTAAAATATTCAAGCTTTTATGAGAGTTTACATGCTCGTATGAAAGCATGTAAACTCTCATTACAATTAAAGTGGAGCAAACATTATGTGAAAATAAACAGGATCCCGTTTATCAGTGGTTTATAAACAGTTTAGTCAAAATTTTCATGTTAATTATGCTATTGGTCATAAAATTAAAATCTTAATACTACCTTTGAATTAGAAAATGGCACCATCATACCAAGAAGGAACAATCCACAGTATGGTCCTCCAACAATACCGCTGATACTGAACGCAAGCTAAAATTTTAAAAAGTAGTTTATTTAAATCAATCATTGGTTCGCCTGTTAACTAAACAATGAAACTTTCTGTTAATACCATACAAAATTAGATTTTATTTTTTTTAAACTATATTTATCATAGCAGGTGTTACCAAGGCAATCACTATCTTTTTTTAACTCAACAAGATTTATTGCTATCCAGTTGTTTTGTAAATCTTCGTTTTTAAGTTTCCCCAAAAATTATTTCTATTATATAAAAAATTATTAATATTCTATAAAAATTATTTCTATTCTATAAAAGAATCGCTTGTGGCATAATTTGCTGAATTCATGAGTTTTGGGACATCAGATATATTATAATCTTTTAATATTTAGTTTACTTTGAAGCATAATGAGTGGACGCTAAATTGGATTAAAATGCAAAACTACCTGCGCTATAATTTTTCTTAATAAACGGAAGAAGCTTGTTGTTCAAACTTTTAAAATAAGCGTTTTGCATGTTCACGTTTCCAGATTTGCAAAAAAAAAAGGGGTTTGTCTATCTTTTTAGTCATATAGCAAACCATACAAGCAACTTTTGGAGATACTTTTCTTTAAAGTTGTACTTTACGTTATCCGGTATCTTATTTTTTTTTTGCATCTTAGTTGTTGGTGTAATAAGCGTCGTTACTGATCAGTATGACAGATGACAATCTGTATATAATGTGTATATAATAAATGTGCAAAATAATAAGTTTATATTAACTTTTGTAACAAGTCTTAGTGATCACCCTTTTGTTAGTTTAAAAATTGTCTTGATTTATATGTAGAGCTCAACCTGCTGCAAGCCTAATTTATAGTTTGCATAAATTAGATTTTAATTGGATAAATTATTAATGGAAAGAAATTTTAATAAACTATGTCAATTGTAATTGTTTTAAATTGTTTCTATTGAAGACTCAAAAAAATTACTGGTGGTAACAAAATTAATTTTTCGGTACTTTTAACACAGTTAAATTTAAACCACGGTTTATATCTTTACATAGTTATATTTATTTCTAAAAATCTATATAAAACAATTATTTGGCAGCAAAGAGTGACCTACTGCAATTTTACATAACGGAATTTTTGAATTTGCGACAAATTCTTCCACACTTCAGTTGCAACTACTTTAACTGTTTATCAGTGCGATCAGAAATTTATTTTTTCTTAAAATAACAAATGTTTGTTTTGTTTTTTTAATGTTTTTACTATGTAGGAATGATCACAGCTGAATTTATTTGCAATTTTTCTTGTTGAAGTTCCAGACCAGTTGTTCAAAAAACCTTTCAGATGATTGAAGTTCCTAGCAGTCATAGTTTTTGGTTTTTTGTCTGATCCAGGCTTACGAGACTTTGGCTCATTGTTCTTCCATTTTACCATATAATGTTTGATAGTTCTTTTGGAGTGATTAAAGGCAACAAAATACTCTACAATGCTCTTCGTTTTAGCGTTAGGATGCAAATTACAATAGTTGTACACTTGTTGAAAATTAATGTAGTCGGCTTCGTTTTTAGATTTTTTTTAACAAATAATCTAAGTAAACAAAACTTTCAGTAAAATATAACTAACACTTTATAATATATATATATATATATAAATATATATATATATATATATATATATATATATATATATATATATATATATATATATATATATATATATATATATATATATATATATATATTCAATATGCTCAAAATTTGATTTCAAAATTTTATTGTCAAGGAAGTTTGAGCATGCAGTTTAAATTAACAATTTAGTTTACACTTTCTTAAACCGATTATTATAGTACATTTAGGTAAAAACTTTGTCTAATTCAATTTTATCAGATATAACTAATGGCCCCAATATGATAATTTCATTTTGATCAATATTAGAGGCTGCACCTCTTAGGCAACAATATTTTTAAAAAATGAATATTTATTTCACTACTGTATAAGTGTCTCAGTATACCTGTGTTAGTGCGTGCGTGAGTGTGTGTGCGTTTGTGTGTGTGTGTGTATGGGGGGGGGGGGGGAGGGGGAAAGGGAGAGGGAAGGGGGTTATTATTATCAAATATGTTACCTGATAAAAAAAAGCAGTAATTTTACCTGCATCACCATTGAACCAAAATACTTAACTAGGAATGCTAACCCAACTACCAAGATACCCAGCACACAAACTAAAAACACATTACTTTAATATAAGTTTTTACAAAGTCAGATATTCTTTACTTATTATAATTAAATTTTTATTACTTAATTTTTGATAACTTAAAAAAGAAAAAAAACACACCTTTTGTTATATATTTTTAACATAAATATATTTATTTATATAAAATATGTTTTCTCACTGATGTTCTAATTTGAAAATAAGAAACATTTTTCAGGGCTGACAACACGGCTTTCAAAGCGGAGGGAGGGGGGGGGGGGGTTGCATAATAGTCAAATCTTAAAAAAAAAATTTTTATCTAGATTTTCCTTAAAAAAAAAGGTCCTTAAGAAAAAAGTGTGGGGGGAAGGGCACGTGTCCCCGTCCGTGCCATCTTATGACAGCTTTTTCCTATTTGATTAATATACCAACCCGACCGCCAATGGCATAACGTTTGCATCTAACCTATAACTTGGTGCAAATAAATCGTTTTTTGTAAACACCATAAGTAATTACGGTCTTGTTATTCTGGTCTTGTTTTTCTTCCGTTACTACTTCAATCACTCTGACCTTTTAAAAGTTGTTTGAAAATGGTAAAGTACAAAGCTGATTGTCCAATGCAAATGTAACGTTCTTATTTAAGAAGGATTCTAGTATAGACCAAGAAAACTACAGACCAATTTCCTTCACCTCAGTTTTTTATAAAAGTGGAAAATAAAGTCAAGAAAATAATCATTACAAGTTTGTAGAAGAAAAAAAAGATGCGTCACATACTATTTTAAAGCGACGGATCTTTTTACAGTAAACATGGTTAGAAAACAACCATTTTTATGCTTGTTTATTTTGCCGTTAAATAACATTTACAAAGTATTAATATATAACTTAAAGACTTAAGACATTATTTTGACTTGTTACTTAACATGATGAAACCAGCATGGAATTTTTTCTATAAATTTGTATGTTTTTAGAGTCAAGGAAATACTAATATAACGTTTTTTTTTATTAGTTAAAAAAAACCTAATGATCATAGAACACCACAGAATTGCAAAATAATGTTAATCACAAAATAATGTTAATCACGAAATTTACGCCTTCTTCCTTGCCAAAGCGTATATATGCCTTTGAACCACGGTTCTTTAGTTCTGAAGCCAGAATTTTAACCACTACACTAGGGCTGCTAAAATAGAGAACTGAAGTCTTGTATGTGCTGAATCAGTTTACCAACCATTGACCGTAAACAAACTTTGGTATGGTTATACAAACATTAGAGCAACTGGATGTTTTTTTTGGTAATGGGCTAGGACCACATAAACTTGTTTTTCTCGAGTCTGCTTACCTTTTGCATGTTACTTTATTTTACAGTATTTAAGGAGTTTGGCTTTTATTTTTTAAGTAAAGCATTTAAAAATCATTATTTATTTCTGAAAAATTTTCTTCAAAATGTCTTTTCAACTGAATTTTTTTTTTTTCAGATTTATAAAGTTATTCTTGTGATCCAGTTTTATTGCGAATCAGCATAAAATAAATAAATATAAATAAAAAAATAAAATAAAAATTCCACTTGGCAATCTCCTACAATCGCTTTTTTTGTTTTACTAAATAGCTAGAAAACTGAAGATTTGTTTTGTCTAATGTATCAATTGAACGTCTTCAATAAGTTTCATAGATGAATCTTGTATTTTTTGGAATGTTATATTTTTTTACCAAATTATTTCACTAACACTAGATGCATTAACACAACATAGGTAAAGCTGCTTTACAAATTTCCATCTGAAACAATACCTTCAATCATTTCTAGAAGTATACAATCCAGAATATTCAGAATGGCGCTCAAAGACTTCCGTTTTTGAACCTATTTGAAACACTGAAACTAAGTTTACATATACACTATCAAACACTTTAGTTTAATCGTGTTCATCATATGCAATAGTGGTGCAGTGATAGATGCGTTAGTGGTAGAGTGCTCGCCTCGTAAACGAGAAGTTCCGAGTTTGGTCTCCACCACTTTCCTAGTACCGCGCGCAACTTGTTTCTTCGCGCAACGGCCTTGTTAATCAAGGTTCGTGTTTTGGAGTTATAGAGTTGAGAGAGGGTTGAAGTCACAACTAAAGTAGCCTCTTCGACTGAAGTGGCCTTCATGGACTTTGGGAGGTGGATTCAAATTAAAAGAAAAAAAACTTGTTTTAGTTCAATATTTACGTTTACTCTAATCTCACGTAGTACTCTAATCTAATGTAGTCTACCTTTGTCTAGCCTTCAACATTAATTTTTTAACTTTTCTCTAGAATTGCAATATTTATTTGTTGCAACAATTATATGTTATTAATTTCTAGTCGTACAATAATTGTTGCATTTTCTATGTATACTACCAGTATTTTATTAATTTTATACAACGACATATACTATAGTTAAAAGCATATTTTTTAATAACATTTGTTTGTGTGATAATTTGAAGCTATATAGTATTTTAATGGTTCTTGACTTGGACAACAAATATGGTAAAAAATGAATTCATTTTTTGTGTTTTAAACCAAGGTATACTAGCTCATTTATTTCCGGCGTCCAATATGTTTTATTTTCAGAAATAAATTTGTTGACCCTTACTTTTTAAAATGAAGTTTTTACGAGTTTTTACACAGAGATAAAAGTTCATAGTTTAATTTATAAAAAATTTGTTAATAAGTTTCATGACATTCCCTATATATCTACAGCTTTTAAAGAATTAAAACTTATTAAAAGAAGCATTTAAAAAGGGGAAGTGGGGGCATAATCGCCCCAGTAACGTTTGGATTAATGTTATATGAAAATAAAAACGAAATGTGTTTTTTTAGCAGTTTATTTTAATAACCACATCATTAGGCTTTAAATTGATGCATTTAAGAAAAAAGTTGAACGTGTTTTGAAAATGTTATTACACAAAAATTACACTTAGTGAAAAAAATGGTTTTGCCCCCATTGTGAGGCACAACCACACTCTCACAAAAATTGATGGGGCTACATCTTTCATAGTATATTTTTTTTACAATTTTCACAGCTCAGATTATTTGATAATTTTGTTGCATGTTTGCATACTGTGCAGGCATTCTTTGTATTTACATTTTGAGTTCTGCCCCAGAAGAGAGTTCTGCCCCAGAAGAGAGTTTTTAGAAAGAATTCAGTTTCATAGCTTAATTATTAGATTATGGTGTTATCAAAAATGGCTTTCACTTCATGAAATAATGCTGATAACACATATCTTTAACACTAAAATCAAATATTACTTAATTTAATTAAAGTCAGGAAAAATATTATATAAATATAATAATTTTATCAAAATAAACATTATTATTCACAACTTCTCAGAAACTTAACAATCACTCTTTTTGACATATGCAAAATGAAGGAAACTGTTTTACTAACGCGTGGTATGTTTTTTGCCATATTAGATAACATTTTTTGAAGAGAAATGTTAAAAAACAGTTGTGCCTCCATATGCGGTTATGCCCCCACTTCCCCTATAAAAGTCTACAATTAAAAATATCTGTTTTGATTATTATTTTTCTGTGTATTAACAATTGGGGACATTTTTATGCACGCAAGGTACACAATAGTGAATTGATTAAAACGCTAAGTTAAAACTATATTTTGGGATAATAAATTTATTATCTGAAAATATTGTGCGTTATTTGTGAGTGAAACTATAAAAAAAAGGATTGAAGTAACTTAAACGGTTTAGTCATATATATCGTTGCAACATTTTTTGAAACGGTTTCCTCCAGGGGCGGATCCAGCATTTTTTGAATTCAGAGATAGCTAACTTCCAGACATGAAGCAAACTCCAAACTTTTATATGTTTATACTTATGTCAAATAAAGATGCTTTGCAAAAAATTGCGATGATTGAAGGTTGGGAACAAAAAAGCCCTAAAATTTGCGCCCCCTGCCCCAAACGTGAGAGCAACAAATTGATGAAATAATTTTTATACTATTTTCAACTAGACTTATATTCAACGAAAAATTTTAAATTTCATAGTAAAATAATTTAGCGTTCAAAAATTATGACGAACCCTATTTGTTATTCCATTTTTCAAAATTAGATGGATTGATCTTAGAATAAAAAATACAAAATGTGTATTAAGTAATTTTATATTTATACATAGTATAAATATAAAATTGTATTAGGGAAAAAATTTAAACTGTATTAGAGAGATATTTGACTCATGTAGTTACTATACATTATAATTTTATATAAAGTAATTATATTACTGAGAGTATTTTTAGTCTTTTTCGCATTCTTTCTTTACTGTTATGATTCCTTTTGTGTAACTACTTTAAACTATCATTTTTAAATTTTTTTCTTAATCATAAACTTAAAAATTTTTTTAATAATCATAAGTAGTTCAAAACTTTATTTGACCCATTGATGTCTAATCTAATCGTTAAAAAAAAAACAATTTGTTCTTGAAATTTAAAAATAATTGCGTTGTTATTGTTGTTATTGTTGTTAATGACATTAATACAAAACTTGATAAAAAAGTTTTAAAATTCTTTCAGTGTCTTCTAATGATTGTTTCAATTTTTGGACTGTTTAATTTGAAATCATGGAAATACTTTGGTTTTAAATAATATTTTTGAGTTATTATGAATCAGGTGTCTTATTTAATATCCTCATTGACTCAATAAGTGCGTTAGGCTTCAATGATTGAGGGTGGCATGAGGTAACTAGGGGGCAATTAAACCCAATCAGTGATTTATAACATAAACCAAAAGATTTTCCGAGTTCCAATTTCTGTTCAAGTCAATATAAAAATATATATGCCGTTTATGCCGGAAGTTTATATCTTTCACAGGAACTTTTTCGAGTAAAATTTAATATTTTAGTTTGAGTTTTAGTTAAGTATTTTGACCTTAGAAAAAATCTTTATCCTAGCTCATGTGCTGTCTTTTTTTGTATATGAGTCGAAGTCAAGAAACAAATGAAACCTTTGAAGTATGCCTCATTATTTTGCTGAAAACTCACTATGTGGCATAATATGCATTAATAAGAAAAAACTCAATACAGAAATAACTTTTTTTTTTAAATAATACTTTTGTTCATCTCGAATTAAATTGGTATTGTACAAAAATCATACTCTTCGCTAACTAGGACCATTAATTTGGAGCTTGGATCCAATAGACGTTGCTTAAAAAAGCAAAATTATCAATTTAAAAAAAGTAATGGGCAGTTGAAAGCCTGTTAATTGCTCATGCAAGCTATATATTGAATAAAAGTTGATTGCTGTATTAGAGAGATATTTGACTCATGTAGTCAAAGATCACTGTTATCTGTTTATATAATTTAGTATTTTACTGTGTTTAGTTTATTCAATACTTTTTTATTTTAAACTGATATCAAATATCGTTTAAACACAAGTAGCCACCGTTAAGTATCTATTTTATAAATTAAAGCATATCCGACACTCAGGCCATCAGTGTCCTTGCAATTGAATTAAAAAAAGACCATCAACTTTTATTGGAAGTATTTTCTCAAATCAGCAAAGAAAATGGTTTTTGCCAAAGCTTTCTAAGCGCAGAAACAGTAAGAAAAAAATAGGTTCGAATACCACATTCACATTTCTGTTTTCCGTTTTTTCTTTTAAGATAAAAACATTTAAAACATCTGAAGATTTATTGTTTCCCTGAAACTATTTAATGAGCTTTTAATTATAGTGAAATAACAGTAAAACTAATTACATAGTAAATAAATAACAAATTATATAGAAAATATACCAATTACAGTGAAATTGATTAGCCAAATCAGGGGCGGATCCAGCATTTTATGGTCTTTGAAATAAATAACTTCCATACGGAGAGCAAACTCTAAATATTAATATGTTTATTATAAATTTTGAGGCTATTTTTCCCCCGGACTTCGATCATCACAAATATTTGCAAAGCATTCTTATTTGACATTGGTATAAACATATAAGTGTTTAGAGTTTGCTCCATGTCTGGAAGTTAGCTATCTCAAAGACCAAAAAATGCCAGATCCGCCCCTGAACCAAATCTATAGAAATTATGGAAATGATGTAACAAAAAGGCATGAAGCATTACAACTTTCAGGAGAAGCATTATTTCTTATTCATTATTTTTTCCTGTCTCAAAACAGAGCATTTAGAAAAGAAAATAGAAAATACATTTTTAATGAACTCATTCTTTTGAGAATTAAACACCAGGCAAATACTGTTTTGAGTATCAGCACTAACACAATTGTGTGGATAAATATAAAAGTGCTATCTAAAAAATAGCGTTAATAAATGCTACACTTTTTTAATAAAAAATAAATACCTATAGTTTTTGAAACCACAGTTGATGCTTTATTACTGATATTTGGCTTTATTTTCTTCACAATATCTTCTAAAACTACAGCTGCCATAGAATTAATGCCTGAGGAGGCTGAGCTATTAAGTTAAAATTTTTCTTAAAAAAATACTTGTTTTGTTTTACGTAGTTGTTATAACTACAAAATAATTTGATTGAGTTTTATTTTATTCAGCATTAGTAAAACTTTTTTATTGCATTCAAACTTACCAAAAAGTTAATCAATATAAAAACAAATTTTTTTTGACTTGATTAACTTTTTTGACTTGATTAACTAAAAAAAATCTTATGTTTACTCGTTATATATGATAGCGAACTATAAATGACAATGAATGATGAAAATAAGCAATAATTAATAACACAAATTACAAAAGTAATACCTCAACGCACCACTGAACAAACATGCTGTAAATAAACCAGGAACACCTTTAAATTTACCTAACTTTTCCATGATAAAATACGGAAGAACCTAAATTTTGAACATTAATATAACTTCTTGTATTTATTATTCACTTGGCACTTAGAGTTGCCAAAAAACTTATGCCCATTTTTTGTGATAGCATACATGTATAGTATTTTTTTGTTTGCTTGTTGTTGTTTTTTCAGTTGCAGAAAATGATAAAATCAATTATAAAAGCTAGGCATACTATTTTTCTTAAAAATAAATAATTAAAGAGGCAAAAAAACCTGCCCTAATAAACACCAAAAATGAAAAAACACCAACAGTTGCATATAGTTGCAATACAGTTTGCAACAGTTGCGTATTCAAACGCGTCATGAATATCCCGTTTTAACCATCTCAATAGATTTATAAACATTCTAAAAAATATTTTTATTTATTACATTTATTAAAACAATAATATTTATCATATTAATTAAAGTTTATGTTTATTATATTTATTAAAATAATAATAGTTTTTATTTTTATTAAAATTTATATATATTATATTTATTAAAATAATAATATTTACTATATTTATTAAAATTTATATTTATTATATTTATTAAAATATTTATATTTATAATCATCTTTTAAATGTTTTTACGTCCAATGACCGATAAAACACATAAAGGATGTTTAAGTATTAAGTATTAGACAATGCCACGATAAATTTTACTTAAACACTAACTGCTTTTTAATCGTTTTTATTTAGCTTTATCTATTTCGTATTTAAAAAATGTTAAACATTTCGCCATATAATGTTTTTATATCCAAAGATATTGTCTGTCTAGCATAGGAACAGTCACAAAAAGCCAAAAAAAACTAATCTAAAGTAGCATTCATTATTAGCCAACACTTTTGCGTACAAAGTACGACTCATTTGTAAAGTTGGTTGTGACAAGATTTGAACACGTATTCCACAACGAGGTATGTAGGGGTAAACATTTCGTTTAACGCTCTGACCAAATGAGCTATTAAACCCCTTTCAATCTGTTCGCTTGTTATACTATTTTTATTTAAATAATTTTTTTTCTTTTATAAATATAAAAATTGTTAATTATGAAAAATATATACAAAACGGATGGGAGAAAGCAAAATTTAATAAAGAATAAATGATTGTTACAAAAATGTTCCGGTATTAACTAAAATGATAACTGAGTTCTATCACCTTAAAAATAATATTATAAATCAAATAATAAACTTTAATCGAATTTAAAATTGAATATAAAACTCGAATCGAGTGTTAAACTTGATTGAATATTGTGAAAATTTGAACAAATTGAACTTGGGAAAAGTAACCGTATAGCGATTCAAAAAAGTATAATGAAGTTAATATTATTACTGTTTATAGCAATGATCTATTTTAAAGGTAAATATGAGTTACTACTTTGGTATTATAAATTTATCATACATCATCATAAGTCACCTGAAATCTGCATACATATAGTAAGATTTTTTGTATTAAAGTCAAAGTTTCTATGGTAACTGTTTTTTGCGTTTTAATATTTATGTTTTTAATTTCTATCTTTTTCGCTCGTCTAGTTTGGGTTTTAAGGGTTAATTGTTTGGCTTAGATTTTTGAGTGTTGTTTTGAGGTTGTCCAAGATGTTTATATTGAAGAGTAAATCCATCAACCTTTTGATAGCAAGACAGGGGATTTTGATTTGGGTTTTTCCAGTTTTTTATAACAATTATTCTAAGAAGAATAACCGCATCTTGGCATCCATTTCTCAGAGTACAAATGGGTATGGCTTGGTCTAGGACGTGTACTTTCTGGACGTACTTTTGCTGAAAACGTAAAAAGCAAAATTTTAATTTCAGCATCCAAAACATTGCCACTGCCTAACTTTTAATGATTGCAAATTCAAAGAGTTTATTGGAGGCCTTGTTACTCCCTAAACATTCACTGACAAATTTTTTTCAGATAAATCTATGAGAAAACGTTAACATTTAAAATTTAAAAAAATTAAATCCCCGTACCTGCTAAATACTAAGACGTATTTTGTCGTTCGATGAGTTAGATTTAAATACTCCTAGTCATGTGTTTTTTTGGACGTTCGAAGTTGCAGAAGAAGATTGAGTTCTGGCATAGCTTTTTGTCATCTCAATAAATTTACGTTATTAGTACAAAATCTTCACGACGTACAAATTCTATTAACGCGCTTACCTCATTAACACAAGCAGAACTGCTTGCTTTTTGTTCTTTTTTCATCTATGCTATGAGAATCATACCACCATCTATGATGATTAAATTTAATATAGAAAGCCGATTTACCAGTTATGTTTTAACCATGGTATATATTAGGCTGTTTGCATCACACCTTATATAAAAAAGACCAATATTTGAATTGGAACATATACAAAATGATTTATACAGTGAATTGAATAATTTATACATTGATATGTGATAGATGTTCTACATTGATATGTGATAGATGTTGATAGTGATAGAAAAGATTGATTTAAAGATGAAGATAAAGTTAAATATATTTTCCGTTAATAGTTGAATTGAGTTGAAAATTTAAATTTAAAAAAAAACATCAAAAACATTTGTAAAATTGTCTGTACTTTTACCAAAAATCAATCTTGGACGAGGAGAAAGACACTCCTTATAACTCAAACGACGGAGACGTAAAAACTCATTGGTTGATATGGTTAAGCGTTTTTTAATTGTTCAAGAACGTCTCACTGAATCGCTTCTAGATTTAAATATGCTGACAAAGCAAATTTCAACCTTTTATGTGATTTAGCTAATACGCTCAAAATCAGCTGTAGAATATTTTAGTAGAAAATATTCTTCTTTGTCATCAACAGATGCAATAATCGAGTTTATGATAAATAAACATTGTATTGGTGACAGTGAAATAAGTGAAACGTTAATGGAAACCTGAAAATAAGAATTGCTATATGCGCAAATATGAAATTAATGAATCTACTAAAATCAATAAATGATTCCTCGCATATTCCTTCAAAACGTTATTTACATTAATGTAAAAAAAAAAAAAAAAAATTCTCATGTTATTTCATAAAACACATAGAATTTTTTTTCAAAATAATTTTTTTTTTTTCAAAATAAATGAAATGGCTATGGAAGAAGAACTGGAAAAGGTTTTACAAAAGTTATTATAAAGAGAATCACAGACTAAAGATCAAAAAATTCCTTATTAGGAATACAAAGCAAGAGTTTACATTATTTCGCAAAACTGGAAAACAAACCAAAAATTTGAAAAAATTTTCTGATGCTATTTGTTTAATTAAGTCAAGATCTACCAGTTCTGGGCCAGGATTTTGCGTATCAGTTGATATTCTTCACCAAAATTAGATCACGATTGTCTGATAATTTGTTGAATGCGTTTGTATTTCTAAAATCTATTTATTTAAAATTGAATAAATTCTTATAAAAATGAAATTAAAACGTTTGCCATTTTTATTATATTAAAAATTTTCTTGATTGGTTATCCAATATCCAGCGGTTTTCAAAAATCGAAAAACCGGATTTTCAGCAGCTATAATACTGTTAAATCTTAACAGCAGTATTTTTAATATATCCGTTCTCGGTTGTTAACTGTTTAATGTTAATAAAATATTTTTTTCAATTGTATCTTTCCAGTAGAAAAAAGTTTTCTTATTAAATGCAGGATTAATAACATTTGTTATTTGTACTTTTTTGAATTTTTTTTTTTACATAATTGTAAGTAAAACAATTTGAAAAATGTGATTATGAACAAAGGAGCCAAATTCATTCTATAAAACTGCTCCGCCAGCCTATTTGTATGTATAACTTTACTTATAGTAAAAAGTCTAAAAGAAATTAAGTTTAATATTTAATTTTTCTCAAAATAGAAAAGTTCAATATAGTTTTTTAGTTTGGAAACCTTTCTTACAAATGTCATTTAGTAGGCTAGAGCCGGCGCGGAACCTCGAACCTTTTGGTTCTGAGCTAGGACTCTAACCGCTGTGTCACGACTCTTTTAAAATAATTTTTATATAAATGTAAAAATATTTAATCAAAAAACTATGCGTTGTAAAATTTCACTTAATAAAAATGTAGTTAAGTTACTTGATCATTACTATTGACTGCTTTGATTCCAAGCACTCCGATATTACAATCGTGGTAAACAGCATAAACAACAAGACCAGAGAGAGAAACCAAACAAATAAAGAATATGAGAGCTGGAATATTCATGAGCAAAGCCCTGTTAAATTAAAAAAAAAAAAATTAGTTTAAAACTATTTAAAAAACCCTTTAATATATAATAACAATAATAACAACAACAACAATAATATTAATACAAATAATTATAAAATAAATAATAATAGCAATAATAATAATAACAATAATAACAATAGTAATAATAATAATAATAATAATAATAATAATAATAGAAAGTGATACATGCCAATTAACTAATGATTTTTAAATTTTATGTTTAAAGAAGTTTAGTAAATTATGTAAATGTTTCATTATAACGTCTTCGAATAAAATCAATGTGCTACACAATTTATATATTATTCTGTATTTGTTTAGTTTAGCATCAAATTTTTTTTTTATGTTGTGAGTAAATTTTAGATGCTAATCCAAGAGCACCGTCATCATTTAAAAATATCAACAATATATTTCTTGTCCAATTTAAAAAGATTTTAGTGAGCTTCATGTTTAGAGATGGCAACCCTCTTAAATTATTATAACTTGTAACTTGTTTATGCGTATATCACGATAACAAATATATCTTACGAAATAATAAAATTATTATCAACCTGTTTACCATACAAAATTTGGAAATTCGTGCATTTCGTTTCGTGGAGCTTTTTTATGGAACAAAATAATTTTCAAAAATTTTGATATTCTCAAAAGTTATAGTTATCTCTCCTTCAAACAAAAACTGAAAAATATTGTATTTTCAATAGATTAAATATCTTCGTACTTTTAAATTTTAAACTTTAAGATAATGTTTAAGTTTTTTTTATTATGCTTTATTTTAAAAGATGTTTACAATAATGTAATTTTTTATTCCATTTTTATGTATTGATAGTGCAATTTTACTTGTCGCTTTTTTTCATTTTCATGTATCAGTATTTATTTAAACGTCCAGTTTTTTATTTTGAATCATTCGTCTATTTTTTCACCCCATACTTCAGCCCTTTGGAACTTTCTCCCATCTTCATGTTTTCCTGACTCAATTTACAACTTTACAAGTTATCTGCTAAACATTTCCTTGCTTTTTAACTTTGCTCTTGCTCCCTTGCTATGGAGAAAATTAGAAAAGAAAAATCTCCATGTTTTACCGATTATCATAAAGCTTACAACTCTTCAAGTCTTAACAGATTTGTAGTAGTTTAGTGGTGTAGTGGTAGAGCGCTTGCCTCATAAGCGAGAAGTTTCAATTTAAATCCACGTCACTCGTAGTACCACGATTAACTTGTATTTTCTGTCAACTGTTTCTTTGCTCTTTAGCTCAATCCTTTATTTTCTAGTAACTTCCAACTTAATAGTGATTGTTTGCTGCTAAGTTGGGAGTGAATAAGATTAAAAAAAAATTTTTCTAGATTCCAAACAGAAATCATTAACTTGAGTATTTTTTTTTTACAATTTTTTTTACATCTTCAAATTTGATAAAATTTAATTAGTTTAATTAGTTACTGATGGCAGAACAAATTGTTGATCTTTATGTATATATATATATATATATATATATATATATATATATATATATATATATATATATATATATATATATATATATATATATATATATATATATATATATATATATGTATGCATGTATATATATATATATATATATATATGTATGTATGTATATATATATATATATATATTATATATATATATATATATATATATATATGTATATACATATATATATATATATATATATATATATATATATATATATATATATATATATATATATATATAATATATATATATATATATCTATATACATATATATATATATATATATATATATATATATATATATATATATATATATATATATATATATATATATATATAAATATACATACATACATACATACATACATACATGCATACATACATACATACATACATATATATATATATATATATATATATATATATATATATATATATATATATATATATATATATATATATATATATATATATATACAGGACAACAGCAAACTACATTGAGTCCTTTTGGTGTAGGATGAAGCGTAAATTAAAGTTTGTTTTTGGTTCTCAAGGTGATATGAAAAATTGGTCTACGTTGGATGAGGCAGTATATAGGGAATATTATGAGTTTAAAAATAAAGATTTATGGCAAAATTTCAATATGTTCCTGGGTCATATTCACGATAAGTATCCTCTTTAAATTACACATTTATTGATATTTTAATTCTATTTTAATTTATGATTTTATTTTATGAATTTTTGGAGCAAATTTTCGAATTTTCTCAAATGATCACATACTGTGTTACACTGATGACAAGAAGATACACATACTGATGATGAGAAGATACACATACTGATGGTGAGAAGATACACATACTGATGACAAGAAGATACACATAGCGATGATGAGAAGATACACATACTGATGACAAGAAGATACACATACTGATGATGAGAAGAATAAACATGGAGGAAAAGCTTAAAACGACGAGATTAAGAAAAAAAGGCATTTGAAGATTTAAGGATTGAAAGATAGTGAAGATTTCGAATAAAAAAAAGTTAATGAAAGAAAAGTAAACTGAAGAATATCAGAACATTTATTTTAAAAAGCAATAATATATTGTAGTTGTTTATTTGAGATTTAAAACTGTTAACACCTATGCATAACTTTTTTTAATGTTTTTTATAAACTTTTAACTTATTACAAAACATTTCTCAAGTAAGCTTTTGTGAAATAGTAAAACCTTACTTAAAATAATAAAGCCTTGAAAAAAACTTAATTAAATTAATAAAACTTCTACTTATTTTAATTCTAATATCAGTAGCATAGGTGCAAATTGTTTAATTTTATAATTTGAAATGTTTATGTTTGATTTGTAAATATTAAATTAGAGTTTTAAATTTTAAAAATGTTTTTAAAAAGTTTGTTTTTTTTCTATCAAGGAAGCCATTTTGGCACTTGTAGCGGCGCGGTTTTATCATTCTCTAAAACATTCAGTATATTTACCGAGAATTTTCGTAACGAAAGCTTTCGTTGTTTTCCGAGTTTGGGGTGGGTCTTTTTAAAGTCCGCCCAAAGAGCTTTGTAGCTAGTTTATCAATATGTCTGTGATGTAAAATACTTTATTTTATTGGTTTATTATTGTTATTGTGTTTTGAAGCGGATGTATCTAACAAAGACATCTGAAAATACTTTCTTTTATCGGTTTAACCTTATTATTGTGTTCTGAAGTGGTTGTATCTACCATAAACAACTGAAATAACCCTTAGATCCTGTTTTAAACACTGGCCTCGTATAAATGCTCCTTCATCAATTTTGCTTTGCTTCCTTAGGGCATATTCAAGTTCTTTACTCCATTAACCATTTTCCTTTTTAGCACTTTCGTAAACATTGTCACATGACACAATGTCCAGTGAACACCGTGAAGCGAATATGTTAAATAATATATCTTTGGAATCGAGGTTTTGTTTAATATTTGCCTTTGAGTGTTTACGATTTATGTCCTTGACAGTTGGATATATATATATATATATATATATATATATATATATATATATATATATATATATATATATATATATATATATATATATATATATATATATATATATATATATATATATGTATATATATATATATATATATATATATATATACATATATACATATATATATATGTATATATATATATATATATATATATATATATATATATATATATATATATATATATATATATATATTTAAATTATTTAACATATTGTATAAAAAATGCAAATCGAAAAAAGTCTTATACTTCTTAGCTTCTGTTAAACTTTTTGCAGCTTGAAAACGCTGAACTGCAGGTTGACAAATTGTCCACACCGGCATTGCGCTAAAAGTTGCGCCAATTGTAAGTGTCCAAAATGTACTTCGAACCGTTGGATCTGGATTAAAGCTAAATAATTAAAAAAAAAAAGGAATATTTATTTTAAATATAAAATTTATGTCTACCAAGGTTACCAAAATGATAATGAGCTCATCATTATCATCATTATCATCATCATCATCATCATCATCATCATCATCATCATCATCATCATCAGTATAATCACTTAATTAATATAAAATAAAATTTAAATAAAATGTTACTTACTCATCCTGTTACATTTCTATTTTTAATTTTAAAGCATTGCACATCCAGTTATTTGGTATGTAAAATACCGTATTATTTTAAAAAATGTCTTCAAATTTATGTTTTTGCTTATTTTTGTATATGTTGTATTTGGTTGTACTGTAATTATATTTAAGTGTATTGTTTATTTAATAATAACTTTTATTCTCATGGAGATAAACTTTGTTGCTAATATTAAAAAAATAATAGTAAAAGTACCAAAGCAAGAGTAGATAAAAAAGCTTAAAAAAAAGTTAAAAAAAAACACCAGTGTTTTTATTTTCATTTTTTTTTTCTTAATGAGATATTGATAGGTATGCTAATCTAAATAATAATAAAAAAGTAATTCTAAATAGAATTTAAAAATTTTGCAAAACTGATTTTTTTTATGAAAATGAGATATCAAATATTTCATATTAGACTTTGTTTTTTGATGACTTGACTTCCCATAAAATTGGCACTTTCCATAATTATGTCTGATGATTGGACTTTATAAAAATTCTTTATTTTCAAAAAAAGAAACCAAAATTGCATTGGGATTATTCTTAAGTATGCAAAAAATGCATTGTTTGGTTCATAATTAACATGGCCGACGACTCGGGTTTTAAAGTGGAGGGTCTATCTTTAAAAATAGTCCTCTATATCTAGAATTTTCTTTAAAAATAATAATAAAAAAAAAAAGTCCTTTAGAAAAAAAAGTGGGGGGTGGGGCGGAAGCACGTGCTCCTCTGGTTCAACTTCTCCTTAAATAGAAATTTAAAGGAGAAGTTGAACCCGCTCTCTAGTAAGCCACGTCTCCCAACGAGAACTTTTAAACATCCGCGGCTATTCAGCAATAATCTTTTCTTTTTTTTTGTCGGTTTTGCGATTTGGTGGCAAAGAGACGTGTTTTTTTTTTGAGGGATTTATTTTAGATAAAAATAGCTTGCTTTTACTTTCGATGTATTTAAACTTTATGTTACATGGCACCAAGAGAAATTAGTGAGTTTTTTCAACAATACAGTCAAGTAATTACATTTTTAGAAAATTACTTACTAAATATATGTCTTGATCATATATATCTGATGTTAATTACTTTAGCAGAGAATCAACTTCATAAGACTTCAATAAATTGCTTTTCAATTCCAAACATGTTAGTCAACAAGTGTATCAACCATCAGATATAAATATGGCATTGACTTTAATAATAGATTAAAAGAGTTACAATCAGAAAATAATAAAAATATGGCAGATTTGCTACGAAATCGTGAAAAATCTATGTGCGTCACAATCTAATAATGCAAGTAATAGTAAACCTCATTGATCGCAAGAAATTATAAAATCTATTGCTTCGATAAACCATATATCATTCCTCAAATCAAAAAAATATTGAAATCGCACAAGCAACATTTTTCAAAAAGATTTGCCAACATTGTGGCTCAAACGCAATTAACCGCAATGTTTTCTGAGACTTTAATTTTAAACAGAAGAGACTTTAATTTCTGAGACTTTAATTTTAAAAAGAAACCAAGAAGTATAAGACTTTTTTCAATTTCTAACGTAATAAAAGACAAAAAACTGGAAATGAGTATTGAACAGAATAAAAATGAAAACTTTACTTTAATTGGTAAGAATGCGCTCTGTCGCACACCACCAATATTTATTTTTCGGGAAAAAGTGCCGTAAGGTCGAGCCTAATTTTGGAACTAAAATTACTGACCATAAAAGCATTGCAGTCGAAAAAATTGTACTTAAATTTAATATCTTTGTGGAAGGCATATGCAATCAAATTACTGAAGAAGATTTTAAAAAATTATATGATAAGTGAAATGGATATTACGCCATTGTTAGTTGCTGTAAATAAAATAAACGAGTATAATAGATCGTTTTGAGTTACAATACACAATTCGGAAAAAACAAAAATATTCAACCCTGAGATGGCATAATAATTTAATTGTAAAACCTTTTAAAAAATAGTGAACAAAATCTAGTATTTTGTTCACTATTATTTAGGCGGGAGCCAAGATAAAAAAATTTAATTGAAAATGGATACGAGCAGCATAAGAGAAAAAAACAAACCTTTAACAATTTTGGATATATGTACTTTTAACTGTCAGGGTACTTAAGTCAAACATTGAATTTACGAAGTCATTTATACAATCTTATGATACAACGTTTTTATGTGAACATTGGATATATAAACCTGAATACCCCGCAATAAGAGATATATCTAACAATACGCACTCCCTTTATTTCCATCAGTCTAAAAAACATGAAAATGGTCGAACATTTGACGGAAATGCGTTCTTTATACGAAGAAATTAATTCCAAAATATTAGAATAATTTACAAAGATGACCATGTTTTAGCAATAATGTTTGAATAAAATCAACTTAATATTATAGTTATTGGAATATAACTTCTTCTTGCGGAACAGCCTCTTATCACTGGAGAAATAAAAAAGTCAATTAGATATAGTCAAAGGTCTAATTAATAGTAACAAACATAACAACAATGTTATTATAGCCGGTGACTTCTAATCTTTTCCACACCAAATGTATGATTTATTTGAAAGATCGAAATCCAAACGAAATAATTATTTTGTGCACTTATCTGAATTTTTAAAAACAAATCAATAAAAACGAGAAAAATGAAACTAACGGTTCTGGCCCTACTTATACATATCGGCATCAGACACTACCGAATTATTCTTATATTGATCACGTCGCCGTACCAAAATATACAAGTTTTTTTAAATCTTAAACGCATTGTTTATCCTGATTGATTAAATAATTTGAGCGATCACGTATCACTTATCAATATCAGTTGAAGTTAGAGGTTAGCACACTAAAAAAATACAATTGAAATAGCAGAAGATACTAATATTCTTAGCTACGCTTGGAACGATTCTTACGCTTGGAACGATTCTTACACTTGGAACGATTTGAGCAGCGCTCAAATAGCATTTAAGAAAACATAAAAAAATAAAAATAATGTTTGTATTCAAGATCTTGGTGGACATCTGAATTAAGTTGTTCAAAAACCATTCTTTCAATTCATTTTAAAAAATGGAAAGATTCTGGTTTTTAAAAAATTTAAACTCTGTAACTTTCAATCGTTACCTAATGGCTCGCAAAAACATTCACAAAGCCGTCAAGTTGGCTAAAATAATAAAATTTGCGCACATTAAAATTAAAATATATGTTAAAATTGAAAAATTTAAAAATATTAGGCTAAAAAACTTTTGCTTCCAGATCATTTACAAAGAATACTCCAATAATAACACATTGTAATGAAAATCGGAGAATTCCCCCGTGTGCAAAACATGATGATGTTAAAATAACTAAAGAAAATATAATTGCTATTTTGAACCTAAAATTCAAAATAATCTCTTGGCTCTTTTAGTATCTCAGCAGAACATTTGAAATATGCAAATTGTGATACTTTAACAATAGGACAATCAAATTTTTTAATTACTCTATTAATTATGGATGGACACCAATATAAATGTCGACGTCAATTATCCTAAAAGTCCAATTTTTGCTTTAGTCAGTTGTACAAATATTGATGAAAAAATCTCAAACTCTAGAGCGGATGTTCAAACTCTTATTCAATCTGGAATCCGGTTTGCCCACCTACGTTCTACGGTTTCCCCACCCACGGAATCCGGTTTGCCCACCCACGTTCTATTTCCTATATATATAAATCATTGGTAGTCTCATCCTTAACTTAAGGTATGAAGCTATGTGAAAATAATTCTGCTTTGATGAAAAAGCTAGATATAATTGGAATAGTTGTGCTAAAGTCGTTTTAAGTTGTTTCGAAACACAGTAAGAACTATACTAACTTGCTATCTAAAATAGAGGAAATTTCAAACAATTACAAGTTTAATCTTTCAAACAAATGAACAAGTTTAATCTTTAAAATAGATTAAACTTGTTCATTTGTTTTCTTAATAATAAATCAACTGCAGGCATTATCTTTTCACAACAAAAAACACCCTTTATTTCAACATTTGTTTGTTGGTGATATCCAGAATCTATGGCGTTTCCAGATGTTATATTTTCAAAATTTAATTTAAAATAAAAAGAAGGTCAAAATAGCACTTTCTAAAAGTGTAATTCTCTCCAAAGTTGAACAAACTTTGAAGTATACAATAGAGTGCTGAAATGGAAAAGAGCAAAGAGAAATTTTTAAACGAATTGTGGAAGAAAAATTCTTAAATGAAAATCACCAGAAATAGCATTTTTTTTTTTTCTTTTTACCTTGTAAATTACATTAGGTGTTAAGTAAATGAAATAATAATAATAAATGTTAAAAACTTTAACTATTTTTTGCAAATCAAATATTTTTACTAAAGACGCGTACAAACAATAACTTTCGAAGTAATATTGACTAATAATAATTAAAATGTACATATATTGTATTAATTAACTAAAAGCAGCTAAGTATATCTAAAATACTACAATATATTAAGTCAAAAATTGTGTGACGTAAAAGAAGACCCCTTTTAAAAACATCAAATACAAGCCCTGTTGCGGTAACTTTTACTCTTAATATATTTTGAATCAGCTACTTTTTACTTTTACTTGAGTAAACCTTTTGACCGGCAATGTTTACTTGTACTTGAGTAAAATTTCACGGAGGCGGAGTTGGCGATTGCCTCCCAACTTTTAGAAAACTTAGTTTTATCCATTTATATTTTGTTTCTGGCTACCCTAATTTTTGTTTAGACCATATATATATATGTACACACACACAAATATATATACATATATATATATATATATATATATATATATATATATATATATATATATATATATATATATATATATATATATATATATATATATATATATATATATATATATATATATATGTATATATATATACATATATATGTATATATATATACATATATATATACATATATATGTATATATATATACATATAAATATATATATATATATATATATATATATATATATATATATATATATATATATATATATATATATATATATACATATCACAAAACAACACTTACTCAAAAAAAATTAGTCTCTCTCCTTTGGCTGCTATTTCAAATACCTTAGAAAGCCCACCAACTTCCATAACACCAATGATGCATACAGCAAACAACCCTGCTAACATCATTACAGCTTGAAATACATCGGTCCATATAACTGCTTTTATGCCACCTAATGCAGTATAAAAAGTGCAAACTACTCCAGTACTAATAATGGTAGCAGAAAGTGGTACTTTAGCAACTAAAAAAGAAGAGTTTCCAAAATTATGGGTTTTCTTTCGTTTTATTCCTTAAATACATTTACTCTCATTAATATAACTTTTCCTTTCTTTCACTCACTTAAACACACACACACACACATCTTTGCTTCTGCCAATTTTGATATACTACTGATAATTTTTTGAAAGGCCTCTAGTGCTTTTTAAAGTTTAAAGTTTATTCAATTAATTATTTAAAAATACTTTGTATTAGTTTATTTTTCGGAAAATAAAAAAAATAATTTAATAATAAATATTTTGAGAAAAAAAGATTTACTTTTTTTTACTTTGTTGAGTATCTTCTGCTTTATATATATATATATATATATATATATATATATATATATATATATATATATATATATATATATATATATATATATATATATATATATATATATATATATATATATATATATATATATATATATATATATATATATATAATGCCGTCAAAACATTTAAAATTTATATATTTAAAATGCCGTCAAAACAAGATGTACTACGCCAGCGCATTGTAAAGTTCTATCAATTGCAGGAAAATCTCAGAAAAAAGTTTACTGTGAATCATTTTAAAACTAAAAATGTTCCAGTTTCAACTATTGACAGTTTTTTTAGCATCCTTCATAACCAAACGTAAAAGTGGTAGTGGAAGACCAGCTAAAATAATGAACAAGAAGAGACTTCGTTTGCTTCATGGTGTTTTCAATAACAATGATTCAATTAGTCAATGAGATGCTGCAGAAAAGTTCAAGCGTGCGCAGCCTGCAAAATCGTTGAAAAAACAAGGAATAGTCTGCCGAAAAAAAAAACAAGAGCACCGGAATACACTGAGCAACAAATATCAACCATGAAATGCTCGATATTATATCGAACTGCTTATGATGAACGTGAGTATGATGAACATTCAAATATACCATATTTGGATGTTCATTAATTTTTTCTTAAAAATAAATGATGTACCTTCAATTAAAATAAATATAATTTTCATTTTCTAAACATTTGTTTTTATTATATATATATATATATATATATATATATATATATATATATATATATATATATATATATATATATATATATATATATATATATATATATATATATATATATATATATATATATATATATATATATATATATATATATATATATATATATATATATATATATATATAGGCAACTTCACCTTGCCTTTAAAAAAAACAAAATTCTCGCAATTTTCTTTAATATACCGTGGCCCATACTTATATAACAAAACGTAATTTTTCCGCGTGAGGTTTTCGTCAATATAATAAAAAGTTTTGTCAAAAAGTCTAAAAGTTTTGTAACATTTGTTTGTCTTAATGACATATACCAGAAAAAAACTGTACGTGTTCTCATGTGATGTTTACAGAAACCGTGCATCATTTTAAAATGTCATTGTATTAATGTTATTCAAAGTTTAAACAACTCTTTTATCAAAACAACGAATAGTTAGTTACCTTATTTTGTACACTGTACAACGCGCATGCGCTAAACAGAATTTTGAATTTCTTTTGTCTTGTAAAAATTTTAATGGTACAAAAATTGTTTAATTGTACGTTTTGTACTTATATGTAAAAATATGTAATTTTGTTTTATTGAAGTATATACGGATACTTGTGTTGTAAAAAAAAAAAAAAAAAAAAAAAAAAAAATATATATATATATATATATATATATATATATATATATATATATATATATATATATATATATATATATATATATATATATAAGAAATTACAAGTAAAAATAAAAGCTTTATGAAGTTAAAAGTTAAAATAAAGAACGCGGAAACTTAAAGAAGACCGCGAGGATTTGTCACAGAGAACCGCTAAAATTAGAGCTAAGACTTTGCTTTGTTCACGTGAATATTTTCCCTCTATTGTAATATTTTAAAATTACTTGCCTCTTATCATTATTAAGTTGAAGGCCGTGAGTAAAATAGTTAGATTTTTTGAAATTGGAAGCAATAGCCAAGTAGTTTTTTGGTACTAGAATGCGTTTTTTCAATGTTACTAATCTTCCAATCTATTTATTTATTCAAAATAAGCTTCTTCATAAAATATTTTTTAATATGACTGGTCTACCAAATGACTGGTCTACCAAATCAACTTTATTTATCAAAAATAATCTTCTTTATTAGATGCAGTACTTGGCTATTATAGTTTTTATTTCATTCTTCATTTAAGAAAATTCTTCATGTGATGAACATAAAATATTTAGTGCGAATAGAAAGTTCTTTTTCGTCTGTTTTTGTTTACGACTTTGAGTGATGATGGTCTTTTGGGTAATCAGGCTGATTGTATATAGTTTTCTGGCAAACAGGCCGGTTGTTTGTCAATTAGTTTTAATTGAAATGTCATCAAATCGAGATAAGAAGAGAAAAATTTTTTTGCATTTTCTTGATGAAAATCCTGGTGTATGAAACAAAACAATTTCTAAAGAGTTACAGATTGCTTTGAGAACAGTGCAGAGCATTGTGAAGCAATTTAATGGCACTGGTACAATCAAAAGGAAATTAGGAAGTGGAAAAAAATAATCTTATGCTAGACGAGATCTTGGTAAAAAAGTGAAAGATGCTTTAGACAGATTTTTTAGACAAACCGGAGATTTCTGTTCGAACTTAGCGAATAAATTTATAACAAGTGCTTCCACTATACAAAGAGTAAAGAGAAATTGTGGCTATAAATCTTATAAAAAGAAAAAAGTTCCTGGTCATGAAAAAAAGCAAGAAAATGTCGCAATTCGTTCTTCAAAGCTGCTATATAAAAAATTATGTGCTAAAAAATCTTGTTTGATTATTGACGATGAAACTTATTGTGCTGCATATCACTTACGATCACTTCCAGGACACCAATATTATTCAGCAATTAATTGCAAGAAACTAAAATCTAATTATAAATGCATTTGAATGCAAAAACTTGCTAAAAAATTCTTAGTTTGGCAAGCAATTGTGAATGTGGTGAAAGAAGCTCTTGTTTTGTGACTACGGGAACATTTAACACCAAAATATACATAAAAGAATACCTCAAGAAACGTCTTTTGCCGTTTTTAAGAACGCACACGGGTAACCCGTTGTTTAGGCTCGATTTAGCATCATGTCACTACTTTGGGACAACTTTAAATTGGCTTAGAAAACATAAAGTAGATTTCGTTGAAAAACACTGCAATCCACCAAGTTGTCCTAACTACGTCCTATCGAAAAATATTGGACTCTTGTCAAAAGAAAACTAAGGTTAATATAAAAGAGGCCAAAAACATTAATAATAAAAACATTAGAGCTACCAAGAAAGTTCAGCCTAAGTCTGTGCAAAAGCTAATGTCGAATGTAAAGCGCAAAGTGCGCGTATTCTCACATACAAAACTTCGCAAACTTTCTTAAATGAAATTTAAGAATATTAATATATGTACTTTCAAAACATATATAACATTCAATATCAAAATACAATAGTTAAATAAATATCCTTTAAAACGTCCGCGCAGATTTTTTCTGGTACATGTCTTATTTCAATAGTATCAATAAATTTTTGTAACATTTGTTTCAATATTATCAATAAAGAGAAAAGGCATAATGTTTGAAAATTTTTTTTTTTTGAATTCGGATTGAAGAAAATCCATTTAGTTTTTTTCGATATTAATTAAAAGTTTGTTTGATATAAACCAGTTAGTAACTTTGATAAGTTCAGCATTCATATTGTTAAAACATGTTGCAAGGTCATTGTTTGTTAAAAAACAGATTGGTGTGATCAGCAAACATAATTGTCATTAAGTCCGAGGTTTTTTAGAGATCATTGATATATATTAGGAAAAGTTAAGGCCCTAGTATGGATCCTTGTGGCACTCCACAAGTTACATCTATTAAGTTTGATGAAAACGGTACGTCTATGAAGATTCTAGGTATCTTGATAGACGTTTAATCATTATATATATATATATATATATATATATATATATATATATATATATATATATATATATATATATATATATATATATATATATATATATAATGATATATATATATATATATATATATATATATATATAAATATATATATATATATATATATATATATATATATATATATATATATATATATATATATATATATATATATATATATATAAATGCAAACCTGATTCCAATGCTAAACTTGGTGCGTACAATACTATTGACACATACAAAACCTGAAAGTTAATATTAAAAAAAAATTGATTTAAGAAATGGTTTTATAATTACATGGGTTTATAAATAATTACTTAAATTCCTTTGCGCATTGGTAAATCTGCAGTAAAAAATAAAATTATAATTTTAAAAGATTTTTATCATTCTTTTGAATTTCTGAATGATGAATCTCTTTTTTTTTTTTTTTTTTTAATTATTTAGGTGCCCCAAGAAGTCCTTACGGTCTTCTCACAGAGCACCGCGAAAGAGCATTTAATTGGGAGTTCACGCCTCCTTCCAAACCGATGTTGCAAAGCTTGCTCAGAGGTGGGGTTTGAACCACGGATCCTTTGTTTCTGAGGCAAGCGCGCTATTCCTGCGCCACGGCTGCTCTTATCTAAAGTAAAACCCTCTACTAAAAAAAAGTAAATAATAAAGTTTGTAATTTTATTAACTTAATTAACGTTAACTTTTTTAAGGACTAAGAAGGCTGGTTTTATAGTTATCTTATTAAAATACAAATTCACTGAAATATCAACTTTTTAATGATGCAACATTGTTTAAAAACCTAAATCATTTTTGGGGCTAAACAATGTTGCACCATTAAAAAGTTACAAATATTTTAATTATAACTTACATATTGTAATAAGAAAAGAAAACATCCCAAGAATCGTACTCCACGTGAAAATCGTTTCTCTAAGTACTAAAAAAAAACAAGTATTTACGATTAATAAATTTCAACGACTAAAGTATTACTTCAACTCTTTTAAATCTTATAAATGACTACAAAAATATAGGATAAAAAAAATAAATTAAAAAAAAATCAAATAATTTTTTTTTTTAGTTTAGTCTGGTTTATTCATGGATTATTCAACAAAGTTTACAAGTTATTGAGAAGAGCGGCACACCAGGCCATTCTGTGATGAAAATACAATTTAAAACGTCGGAGCAAAGATAGTTCATATTTGAAATTTTTCAGGTTCTTTGAGTCCATCGCATTTTGGGTTGAAGCATTTTTTAAACATGGTTTAACAAAACGGTTGGTAAGGATGTTGTTTCTTTCTGTGAAGTTTCGTAGAAGTTGTGCTTTTAGTTATTTTGTGTGTCCACGTGGTCGAAGACTGTACTTTAAAGACTCGATGTTTGGTTTAAGCTGAGCGACGGAGAAGTTAAATTTGCCGATTGAACTGATAATTTTGTATTGCTCAATAAGATGTCCTTTTTTTCGTTCTTTGGTTTGCGTTGTCAAGTTAAGTCTTGATAGTCTCTAAATATAGGACAAGTCTTTTAAGTTGAGAAAATGTTTTGTTGCTCGGTGTAAATCTTGCTTGAGTTTAGCTATGTTTTGAGCTAGAAATAGTAATTAGGTCTGGGCAAACTAAAGTAAGATGTCTGCGTACAATGTTTCCATTACATTGAAGTGCGTAAGGTTATTTGATAGTTTGAGTAGGTTTGAATTGCAGGTTTTTATGAAGATAGGAATAATTACGTCTTTTTTCCGTTGAGATGGCACTTTGCCAGCCTTAAACGAATTAGAAAATATAACACTTAGTGGGTTAGCATCATAGTATTTTAAGACACGTGGGTGAATGCTATTGAAGCCCATTGATATGGCTTTGTTCTGGTCCTAGAGTTTTATTTAACGGATTCGTATGATGCAAGTGTGATCGGTTGGTACATGTTTGTGAAACGAGATTAGAATGTTGTGTGAGGCCCTAGGGGCTCAATTTCAAAAGGTGATGGAAAATAATTGTTTAGTGTATTGCAGATTTTTTTAAGATCTGTTGTTGTTTGATTGTTAGATGATTCAAGTTGCCGAATGCGGTCCTGTTTTTCTTGTTTGCTTTTAACGTACGAGTGAGTGATTTTTAGGTCATACCTGCTATTTATACAACTTTGCTTTTATACAACATTGCTTGCTTGTTTATGCTGTTCGGATAAATTAGTTTGTTAGTTCGGCTAGCTGAGATAAATTTGCCCTAATATTTGCTTTTCAATTTGAAAGAGATTTTTGGTCACCCATGTTCTGTGCTTGTTAGTGAAAGGGGGGGGGGGTATGTTGACGGAACGTGTGATAAAGTTGCTTTCTTGTATTTGTTGGTAAATAATTGATATTTTTTTGAAATAGTTAGGCAGTCAACAGTGAAATGCCAGTCAAACGTTTTAATATGCGTAGGATTAAGTTGTAGTCAGGTTTGCACCAGATTAGACGTTTCTTATTGTGGTTAGAGGAACTAGTTATTTCAGTTTCTCTAGTTTTTAGGTCAGAGAAAGCTATACTTTCCTCAAAAAAACAGTGTACCTGACCTTTGGATGTGTAGCCAAGCGGACTAGTTTCTTTTATGCCGATTAGTTGATCTGGTTTATTGGTTAAGATCAAGTCAAGCGTCATTTGGAGGTACCTCACAAGTCCTGTCAAAGGTTGAAAAGATTATGGGCTGAGTCAAATGATTTTCTTGAAAACAATCTTCAAATTTACTATCTATTTGCCAGCCATTTTGTACGTATACGGCAGTCATTAATATCATTTCCTACATCGACATTTGAATACATTCTATTACTGAAATTGAAGTCGCCATACGCGAGTAAGTTTTAACAACCAGTTGAGTTAAATTTGTCAGAGGCAGTGCTATTTGAGTCGCTTAGATTATGTGGATGGTATAGACAGCATAGTAGAATTGATACGTTGTGAAATTTTAGTTTGATCCATACTTGCTAAATTGTGGTGCAGTTGATTTGGTCAATTTTGGTGTTAGAACAATCAAGGTTTCCATTTTTTTAGATGGCAACTCCTCCTCGTCATCTGATATTTTTTATTTTATTGATTGTGTTGGATGTGTCGGTGTTTTAATTTTGAATACTAAGTTTTGGTAATCTATTGTGATAATTTTGGCTCTCACTTCGTAATTTTTTGGTCGTTAAGTGAGCCTTTTTTGGCCTAGTAGATGAGTTGTTCTGGCTTCTCTTTTGGTTGTGCTAGTTGTTATAATTTTGGTTTTAGGCTTATTGGAAGAGGTTGCCTTTTGTGGTTACTTGATGTTGATTTCGTTGGCAATTTATCATTTGTTGAGTTGGGTACAAGAGTGTACTAGGTATTGAAAAATAGTCTTTTATTGGTGTGGTTGATTGAAGACGTTGGTTGAAGCGTGGCTATCTAGTTTTGGTAATTTCTTTAATCTTGTTGCTTCGAATTACAATCAATTTTGTTGATGTTGTAGGTAGAAATGCGTTTTGTTTTTTGCATTCAGTTTGCCATGTAAGTTCTTTTTGAATGCAGTTAAGTCAGGGTTGATGAAAAGTGTTGTGTAGTTGACTCAATTTGCTGCGACTCGGAAGAGCAAGCTTCAACTACGTAGTAACGGTCAATTTTGTTAGGAAGTATGTTCACTAGTGGCCCTGTTTTAGTTAGGTTACCAGCAGGTTCGCAAGAAGTTAGGCAGAAGAAAGGACGGCACTTGTCTTTGTCAGTATTTATAAGAACGAGTACTTTGTATAACTTTGTATAATTTTTTTTAATCATTCAAATTTTAAAAAAATATTCAAAAAGTGATTAAAAAAAGTATATTCTTTCTATGGCACAAAAAAATTATTTATACACTTTTTAGATCTCGATCAACATTTTTTCAAAAATGTTGATCGAAATCTAGTAACCATTGGGGTCGTCAACAAGTAGGTCACGGAGTTTTCGACTGTTTTTACCCCCTCCCTCCTAATCAAAACACTGTTTAGTAACACTCTTTAGTAAGAAGTCCCGTACGAATTGTCACAAAACCACTGAAACTTATTCCCTCCCCAAATAGAAAATTTTTACCTAAATTGTCACTTATACATTCTAATGATATTTCAATGAAAACGTTGTTTATGTAATCTCGAGTGTTTATCAGAAAAATATTGAAAAATTTTTACTTTGTCTTTTTCCATCATTTTAATAAACATAAATAAGGTCGATTATTTAGTGGAAATCTATAAAGACATCATATCAAGAAATACATCATATTCCATCACTGGAAAAATACAAAAGTCAACTAGGTATTGACAATTATCGAATTAATAATTATGAAGGAAACGAAAATACCATTATAGCTGGTGGTTTAAAATCTCTTTTTCACAAAATATATAATTCATTAGAAACATAAATCTCCAATAAAAATAAAAACTTTATGCTTAACTGAGTTTTAAATGCAAACAATTTAAACTATTTAATTAAAGATTCTTGCTCTATTTACGCATATCGACACAAATTCGCCGTTTATTGACAATGTTGCAATATATAAAAGATTACTCAACCTTAATAGTAAAGTACACCCTGCTTCTTAATAGTAAAGTACACCCTGCTTCTTCAAAACATTTGAGCAATCACTTAAGCAACAATATTAGTTAGAGTTAGGAGTCAGTACACAGAATGCAATACCAGCAGAAAGTACTAATATTCTTATTTTATCTTCGAACAATTTTAACTTTATAAATTTGTATATATATATATAGATATATATATTGTATATATGTATAATGATTCTGATCTAACTAAGTATTGCATATGTAACTGAGCGATTTCTTATCTAATTATTGCAATTTACCATATCACCGAACCTATTCGAATTGCTGTAACGCAAGTGATTAGTATACACCAATTGTACTATAATAGAATTACTGATTGCTGGAAATAAAACTAATTAAAAAGTTGCAGAAAAAAAAAGAGAGCAATGTCGGATTTTTAAAAGGCTTAAACTTTCCATCTTTGGACCGTTACTTAATGGCTCTAAACAACTTTTGCAAAGCCGTCAAATTGGCTCAAAATAATTACATTTGAAATCAATGCAGTAAAATTGAATAACAAAAAATAATTGGCAAAAAAAATTTATTATTTACGATAAGCAATAAAAATCACTTCAGAGTTCCACTTTAAGAAGGTACTAAACGCTCAAAAAATGACCCATCATAATAAAATTTAGAGAATTCAATTTTATGCAAAGTATAATGATATGATAGTAACTCACGAATATATAAGATGGACAATATCTCACCTAAAGATGGATTGTATCTAACCTAAATTAAAACAAATATTGAGACACAGCAGAACATTTAAAATTAGCAGCTAAATTTTAGGCTTTCATTTCATGGCTTATTAAATTCTGCTTAAAATTTTACAACAATCATTTTACTTAATTTATTGGTTAAGTTGTACAAAAAATTTATTTATTCAAAACAACTATCGTGGTATTCTGAAATACCTAATCTTAATAATATGCCCATAGAATATAGATACTAACGGCTCACTCCCTATGATACAGATTTGCTACTAACTGTTCAACGTCATACTGAACTTCTAATAAGAAAAACTATTAAACATTACAGCAGCAAAAACTCACCTTTTTACTTATTTTATTTACAAGTAGAATAATCTCATACCTAGGTTCAAAATTAAGTCTCGTTTCTCTAAACCAAGAAATAAAACAAGGACCAATTCGTTCACCTCACCTTTATTACATTTATACTCAAAATTTTCTCAAAACAATGATGGGCCAAGTCATTTCATTGCATCTATATATGTTATTTTGCTAGCCAGTTATCCAAATATATCACACTTTTAAGCTATTCAATCTCAAAAGCTTTAAAAAGTTATAAAATATTTAAGTTAATTCAAATTGTATTATCAAACTAAATGCTAACAAAAATAAGTATTTGATATCAAATAGAAAACAA